CAGCGCATGGAGGGAAGCGAGGAGTATTGGGTAGTGACTGGTTAATAGCACTGCGACGTGGAATACATCTCAGAGCGTGGAATACAGCTGCGGATGCTGGGTAGTGCCGGGGAGGCCGGGATCTGAGAACGATATTTTGACAAGTGGGAGAGGTTACTTCTTCAGGGGGACGTCCTCTCCACTATTAATACCTTCCTTCTACCACTGTGCGTTCCTGCAGTACTGGCGGGAGGCATATGTTAGTCTTGTTCGCTTCGGATACTCTTTAGTGCCGGGGACGCTGGGTTTGGCCCAGTGCCAGCTTATTCTCTACCACTTATTGAGGGGGCAAACGGCGGCATTCAGTGGAAGTTGAGCTCGTGTTGCACCGAACGCAGCTCCCCTGACAAGCTCCAGCGAACAAGATTGTGGGTTGAAAAAGAGCCAGTCTCTTAGAGTGCAGTGATGACCCCGCTGGTCAAGTCCAGCCCTCCCCCCGTCACGTCATCACCGACGTAGCTCGAGGCACGCCGCGGGCGTACCGCCAGTGATTTTTTCCCATCGTCAGTTGCTCCACTGTGTTTATCCTTCTTTCTTATTAGGTAGTGCCAAAATTTGCTACAATTTAGTAGTCTACGTATTTACAGAGCAGTGCATGGGATGCGAAGTGAGTGGCGTCGAAGATTTGATGAACTTGAAAGTACTGTTCAGACTGTGAACAAGTTCTTCAAATATATCGTTGACTGCCCAAATAAGGTATTGTTTTTTTACTGCATTCCGTATTCTGGGCCAGCTGAGCACTAACTGGGTTAAGGATGGAAAGCGTAAATTTTAAGCATGAGAAACTTTTTTATTCCTCGCAGTGGGACACTAGGTTTTACAGAATATATCAAAGTTTCACTAGGCATGCCGTTCTCGTTTGAGCAGTGTTGGGCATGTCGTACGCTAAGAATTCTCCGGGGAGGGGGTCGTATTTAGTCGCCGGAGAGGAGGACGATCGTGCTCTGTTTGGGAAGTAATTTTTGAGTTTATATTCCGTGTTATTCATAAGTGTACTTCGACATCGTTGGGCAGACTTACCTTGGAGGGCGTGAGCGGTCCCATTCTGTTCCTCCTACGCTAGTCAGCACTGCAAAGATTCACCAAGATGGTAGGTAGAGGGGATCGTGTCAAAAGAGAGGAAATCGGGGTCAGACGGTGTCGTATTTTGCGAGATTTTTCATCTGCGATAGCTTGTGCCTTGGTTATGGTTTTGCTCTCATTTCCCTCCCTAGACGGAGTATGCTCTTGGCCTTTGCCGTCTGAAGACCATTTTCTTCACTTTTTCATGTATCAGTTGTTTACTAATTAAGTTTTTTTGTAGCCGTTGGTTTCCGAGTTGATACCGTACGTGTGGGATGCTCATGGTAGTTGTTCTGTTCTTCTGGGTGTAGCCCGATGGATGAAAGCCGGATTTGTGACCTCTCGGCCAGGTTTGTTTTTTCTGTGTAAGCGCTCAAGAGAACATTTAGCGCGGATTACATAGGCGGTCGCCTGGGACACTTTCCTCATTAGTGCACTACTCCTTGTTGCCATATGAGAAAGAACTCCTCTTCCTCAGCATATAATGAGCTCACAGTAATTATGCAGCCAGGGTTGAGCGAATCATTTCGTTGGTATTCCTCGCGAAATCGTAGACATTCCGAAGCAATGACCCACAAGGGCCAATGAATATTTACCTATCCTCTTCAGTAGATTTTCGTATTATTCTACCGATCAAGAGTTCATTGGAGGATCGGTCATCATAGACTGGGTTCAATATGGGGTTTTATGATCTTGAAGCGCCCTTACGCAGTCGTAACTTAATCTGAATATTCTGCCGGTGAGATCCATGTTTAGATTCGCAGCCACAATTTTGGAATAGCGATCGTGAAGATGAGCCGTGGATGATGGGTGGAGGATTTCTTTGTGAATGCTCAAAGTAGGTTTTCCATTAATTTATGATGTATAGTCAACAAGTTTTGCTAGTAGCTGCTAGTTCCAGCCATTGAGAATGACCAGACCTATTTCATTATGTGAGAGTCTTATTTAGGCTTGTGGCACCCTGTGGACCCATCGTGCGGTTGTTTAACAACAGAATGCTTTTACCTCTATCCATAGTGAACTATGAAATCCTGCCATATACAAAGGGCGACTTGGTGAGCGAAATTTAAGTTTTCATGATTATTTTGTCAGGAAGACTGCTTTTCTAACACGCCTGTGATCGCTGCTCGGCAAAGTCTGTAGGAATGCCATGATATTTATTACTAGTACGCCAATGCTCGTGTAAACCGGCAGCCTCTGAAGTGACCATCTGAAAATAGTTCTATCACTAAAAAATTTTACATGGTCCAGCTTAATGGGGGAGGCGGGGGAGGGGTGGGTGTGGGAGAGCAGGTGTGAACGGCTCCGCTCTCTGAGGCTACCACTGCTGTAGGAGATAGTTTGACCTGTATCTTATTAGGAGGGCGCGGACTAAGGGAGGATGGTCGTGGGGAGCATCCGAAGAGCGGAGCGGGGAGGTCGCCATCAAATAACTACTATATCCAGCTTTCGAAAGTAGTTGTGTAGGACTACAGCTACACCGTCAACTAGGGAGGGTATCAAATACGACCGCCTTCTTCAGTAGAAGTCTCTTAAGGTTGTGAACTGCGCGCCTGAAGAAAAGTCAGCAACCAAAAAAAGCTCCCAGGCCAAGCACGACCAGCCGCTGGGGAATCCCAGCTTGCGACATGTGCTGATGAGATACTTCAAT